TGCCCAAGTATTTGAATTCTCTGCTTTGTTTTAGTTGGGATCCATTGGTGTTGATATCCACTTTGCCTGGTCTCCTGCTAATTGTCATGACTTCTTGAATACTTGAATATTTGGGGAAATCTTGAATACAATAAATGAAAAACTAAAGTCCTCAACTTATTGAAGACGCGCATTCTATAGTCATTCGACAACACTTACCCTCCTTTCAGTTTCTTGAGCAATAAATGCTCCTTGATATGCCTGTCGCTGCTTCGGACATTTCAGGGTGAGTAGAGATGGTCTTCATGGCTACCGTAGCGGTCACGCAAAAACATTTTCTAAATCTAGCAATCCCCTACTTCGTCCGTTTCCACTTCCCACGACGAAGGACGAGGTACAAGAGAACGGATTAAGTAAAGTAAGTTTAAAAAGAAAGATAACTTCATTAGTCAAATGTAACATTGTTCAATCAACGATATTACAGCCTACCGTAGGGTGTAGTATCTATGGTTCAATTCAGTTTCCTTTATCTGGGGCGTCGGTGGCCTAGTGGTTATGTTAAAGACTCGAAATCGTGAGATTGTGGGTTAGGTTCGGAGGGTTGAGCGACAGCTCGGTCCGACGTTGTGTCCTTGGGAAAGGTACTTTACACGAATTTCCCGTTTGGCTCGTTCTTTCGAAGAAGGACGTTAAACTCGGAGGTCCCGCCTCTTAAATAACCTAAAAGTATTGAAAGGGGCGATAAAAAAAATACCATTTCACCATTTTTCCTTTATCTGACTCTTTAAAAAGCGGGCAGCAACATGCGTACTACAAAAAAAAAGAAGGAAATTACGGTTCTGATTTGCGTATGATGGTTTTAGTAAGATGTTACGGCGTTTGCAATTGCATAAGGTCATAAGAGCACCAAGGGGTGGATGTCAACTGAGAATTTCAAACGGGGAATCAGACTTACTCTGCTCACCTCTCTAGCCGCGATAGCACAAAATCTGCGTCGACCAAAGCTTGTTCATGTGTCTTTCTTTCGGGGGAAAATACTACTCGATCAGGAATAGAAGTCAAGATATTTGCGATTGAAGGAGATGGGGCGATCATCTGGTTTCAGAGGAAAAAATTAGCGAGAAAATGGCCAACAAAGTTTGGAAACTTCCAGAGTTTGAGAGTCCATAGAAATTGCACATTTACATTTTTCAAAGCCTTAAATCAACCGTCTTTAGTGACATCCGCTCATAAATGTGTTATTAAATGTGTTGAGTCGGAAAAAAAAATTCAATAAAATTTGCAAAGTGGACAGAAATAATATTATGCCAGTTTCTTCGATTTCATTATTTTGACAATTTCACCACGGTGCTTTACATTTGATTAAATCCTCCTAAATGAAAGATGCTTTGCTTCCTTGGTCGCTGTTTGAAACGTTATGACTTAAGAGGGACTGCGCGTCGCTTAAGGTCAACCGAGTTGTACAGGAATGCATTACTGCGCTAAGCTCAGGTCTCTGATAGCTGTGGCTTCGCAGGTCCAGACGAAGCAGGAACTTGCGCATGCGCTGTGACTGCGGCAGATGTCTCAGCGAAGAAACCAAGAAGTAGAAACGGTCACTGCCGATAGTTAGTGATCCTAGACGAAACTGTTTTGCCGACCAGTAGTCCAGTACTGAGTTCACACTCGAAAACAGTGTCAAACAATAAGTGCCCAATAGTGAGTTCAGGTTTTCAAAAATGTCAAACAATAAGGGTAAAAGGAATTCAGGCTAACACAAAATGTCAAATCATATGACCTTATGCAGTTGCGAGGGCCGTAAAACCTCTACTTTAACCACCTCTCCCCCCCCCCCAAAAAAAAAAGAAATTTTAATGTCTAACAAGACATTTCGGTGCCCGTGGTTTCAGACAGGTGGCCAATGAGGTCTCTGTCCTTGAAGAAGATACAATAATCTCAGCTAATAAAAATCCCACAAAACAAACCAGAACACCCCCCCCCCCCCCCCCCCCCCACAAGAAACAAGAACAAATAAACTTGGCGCTATAACAGTGGCAATCAGCAATGGCATGTTTCTGAAATGGTTCTGCCTTCATCATCAGCATTTCTTTTCTCACCCTGGATCAGGGTACAGACCACAAACAAACACTTTCCACCTGTCCCCATCTTTGGCTAGTCGCTTGATGTCACTCCATGTCTTTGTCTTGCAAATTTTCTATACATCCATTTCCATGACTGTTATCCAGGTTCCACGTGGTCTTCCTCTTGATCTTCCCCCCTGTGTGTTCCAATCTAATGTTCCGCACGAGGGCTCTCCTGGCCTAGAGGTTAAGGTGTTCGCCTCTCAATCAAAGGTCCCAGGTTCGAATCCGGGTAGCTACGGAAACATTTTCTTCTCTAAAATTGTCTCCTTTCACCTTCTTTCCTTCTCTCTTGCCATATTCTGTCGTTTGTTTTCGTCTTCACGTTCTTGCCCCACCCCCTCACCTCTTTTGCCCCCTCCTCTGGGCTCCTGACTCTTTCTTCAGCCTTTCTACTGCTATTCCTTGGCTCCTTACTGCTGTCTGTCAGCCTCACCACTGATCTTCTGGTAGGAAAGATCTACACCCAGTCTTCTTGAACAATTGCGAGAAATCTCGGAGATCCCTTTTGCAAGTTGTGCACGTTAAAGTTCCATCGGTGGTCCAAAATCGATAAGAGTAGGCTTCGGCCGCCACCAGGGCAAAATTCAAAATTTCCTACCTACTGAAAATGTTTGGTGTATCCCACGCGCTCATATGACTGCAGTTGCGAACGCCGTAAAACACTTACCAAATAAAGTGTTCCGCATTGGTGTACTATTATTGCGTATTTGATAATCTTTGTTTATTTTTGTGCTTAGTAACGATATATTAAGGCCTATACTATATAGATCTATGTATATCTACCATCGTAACAAAATCTCCCCACAAAAATCATCAGAATGCAAGCGTAGTATGTTTGTTAACCATGGTTATTATTATTATTATTATTATTATTATTATTATTATTATTATTATTATTATTATTATTATTATAACTATTATTATTATTGTTATTATTATTATTGCTATGACTATCATTATTAGTGTTATTATCATCATCATCATCATCATTTTTATTTTTATTATTATTTCATATCAATATTGTTTTAATTATTTTGCTAGGCAATACCTGACAGCCTCTGTCAAGGCCAGTGTCCTGCTCGCCACACCCAAGTGCTCAGAGGTCAACCCCCTTGAAGCAAGCCTGTCGAGATGTCCTTGAGCTCCTTGAACTTTGGACCTATTGTCTAGAGGTGGACAAAATCCGGATAATATATCCGGATAACCAGATAGCTTTCAATGAAACATTGTCCGGATTCAGACTCTTTACTCCCTTTCTTAACCCGCTTTCCGAAGTGGGTGCACCCATATTTTGTTGAAGTAATGCCAACCCGTTTGTCGAAGTTGTTCTAACCCA